AGAATGAGGCCCTGCCACTGGCTCCACACTCCACTGGCCAGGAGCAGCTGGAGGGAGGAGGTGGCCAGCTTCTTGTTTGATTCAAAGTTGTCCACTTGGAGCGTGACTGGGCGACGCGTGGCTGGGGCACTCAGCCGGGGTTATGATTGATAGGTGAGACCTGGTCTGGCCGTCAGCCTGGCCTCCATTCCTGGCACTAACTGTGGCTGCAGACCACTCTTGAGGTCCCACCCGTGCTAACTGCTCTCTCTCCTAGGTTCCCTTGACCCCTCGGCTGTCTTTCAATTGCTACAATGAGATATGAGCCAGAATTCAAAAAGTCCCCCTCGCATCTCCTGAAGAAATTTGCAGGTAATGAGAAAAGACCACTGGAGGGGCCTGGTTCAACCCAAGGCATTGACAGTTACTCTCCAGGTTTAGAAGGGAAGACAAAGAAATTTATTTTTTAAAATAACGTAGGAAAATACTGTAAGGTCTTCATTTTCTTAAGATTTCATTGGAAAAACTCCTGAACCTGAGGCGCAAAACATACACTTCAGCTACTTCATAGTTTTTATTGCAGGAATAATTTTTTTTGTTTTTAAGAAGAAATGTTTCTCAACAGTAAAGTTCACTTTCCCCCACCCCTATCCTGGGCTCTCAGGATGTGAAGTCGGACGCTGTATGCGGGCGTTGAAGGAGACGCTATGTAAATGTTTAGTGTGTGTATATAGTGTGATTGCAGTCGCTTAAAACCACCCAGAGAAAAATTCTAGATGTGTGAGTCCATTGGGGATTGGGTGCACATTTGTATATGCGACTTGAATTTTTTTCCTCAACTGACCTTTTATTTATGCATGACTTTAGTAATAAACAAAAGATAAGAAAATAAAAGGAAAAGAAGAGAAATCTCTTTTTTCTTTTTGTTTGTTTGTTTGGCTTGGAACAGGGGCTGACTAGGGCGGTTCCCGGGCTGGCCAGGGATAGAGATGTGAGAGACTCTTTTGTGTGGACACTTTATAAAGAAATGCAGGAGATACTGCCAGAGAAGAGGCGTAAGAAGGCAGGGGAGGCCCGCGGGTCTCATATGCGGTGGTGGGAAACCAGCTGCTGGTCCAAAATGTTCCATTAAGGCGCCGCTTAATGAATTATTTCCTGCCCATGCTGTTTGCTGAAATAAACACCCACCAGCTGTGCGGTCTTAGGTCAACTAGATCTTTCTGGATGAGGTAGCGGAGCCTGAGCAACTCCTGGGGGCAGGTGTTGCTTGCTGCCAATTAGGGGAATCACATGTCCTTATTGCTAAAAGTATGTTAAGTGCTTCGTAGCTGAGCTGTGCTGAGATGGTCACTTGCTGCCTCTTACAGTGTATCACACATTCGTTATTCCTCCCTTTTTTTTTTGATCGAAACTGGCATTAAACTTTGTCTTTTTGATTTAATTTTTAAATTCTGAAATCGTCCTCAGCCTATGTTGATAATTTTAATTCACTGTCTGCTTAAATGTGAATTAATTACACGTTATAACCTGAACTCCCAAATACCCATTGTGCTAGATCTTTGTTTCCCAGTTTCTTTGTAGAGCACCCAGCCTGGTGAGTGCTCCGCTGAGATGTATTATCTCCTTCATCATTAGAGGACCCTGTGTTATTCTGTGTAATTAACTTGACATCATTGTGTTCAGAAAACTAATTCATTCCAGATCTTAGTTTCAAAGTGAGATTTATATGATGCATAATTAGAAACATAACAAAACCCACAACACAAACCCAGAAGTTTCCCCTCCAAGTCCCGGGTTCTATAGAATTACCAGCGCGTGGCTGTGTTCTCGGCGATAACCGCTTTGTGTGTGTCTGTGCTTGGCAGTGTGCGACATTCCTCTGTACGACATATGTGACTACAACGTCACCAGAGATCGCTGCAAGGAGCTCGGGTGCTGCTTTTACAAAGGTGTCTGCTACGAGAAAGCAGTTCCCTGTAAGTATGGAGGCCACACCTGCCCTGTGCATGCAGAGCCACGGAGGCCCAGGAGTGGCCTGTCTCGTCCCTCTGTCCCTCTGGTGTTCTGGACATGCCTCTCGCATTGTTCCTGGTCTCTCTGCAGTAGAGGAGCAGAGGAATTTGAGGGGACATGTGACTGAGGCTTGGGCCACCAGAGAAATCCCACTCCCAGATAGGGTAAACATGCTATTGAAGAGGACTGACTGAGACCCCTCCTTCTTGTAAGACTTGGGTCATTCTTGGGGGTGCGGAAGGCTGGATTTGGGGGCGTAGTACTACTACAAGAACAGCTGGTTCAGCTCAGGGCTTGCTGCCAGCTGTGCCCAAGGTAAAACCTGACCAGGGCGGGGAGCTGGAGAGTGCAGCTGGGACCATGAGGATGACTGAGGACAAGGCCCCTAGTGGGAGTGGGTCGGCAGGGATGTGTCTGGCGGGGGACTCCATAGGCTCATCACGATCAGAATGAAAACACAGATCTGACTCTAAGATCACTCCAGTCTGGGATGTACCTAGGGAGGCAGTACCAGCAGGAAATCTGGGATGGGGAGGCTGTGGGAGCTGAGAGAGAGTTGTCACCCTCAAAATGGGGCCTGCTTCTCTGTCAGGCAGCCAAGGGAGGCACTTGGAGAGAAAGTGTCCAGAGGTAAGAGAAGGGTGTAAGCTAGGGTGCTTAGCCCTGAAGGGATGTTCTGAGTACACTTTCTGGATATTTTCTCCCATTTTGGAGCTTTGGCCTTCTGTGCCTCTGGAATTTTCTCAATATTTTCAAACCTCAAAAAATTTAACTTGACGGTTGATGTGTTTTCTTGCCGTTTGTGGCCCTTTTAGAAATCAGGGTGAATGGGCTCCGGGACTGTTTAGGAAGGGATAAACAAGTCTGTGGGCCAGGGTGGCCTACACGAGACCTCACCAAAGAGGAGGAAAGTGCCCGCAGATACGAAAGGCTGACCGCTGGCTGGGGCCACTCAACAGCTCTGATACTATGGAAAAATATGTCTTGGGCCCTCCCTGTCCCAGGTTACTCTCCTTCTGTCCTCACCACCCACAGTGGACAAAAGGGGCACTTATGTTCTGGGACCTGGGAGCATTTCTTTCTCCTCCCTCCCTCCTTCCTTCCTTCCTACCCTCTCTCCCTCCCTCCCTTCCAGTTTGGCAGAGCCCCTCAGTAGCACTGAACCTGCCTTCTCATTCCTGGACACGGTGAGGCCTAGGAAGTCAGAAATATTACTGATTGATGAATGTTACCAATTGTTGGCTCACTGGGGCCACCTGATCCCACAGACTCAAAACCCTAAGCCAGCTCCTTCAAGAAGTAAGTGATATTCTGGGCAAAATGATTCAAGAAGCTGAACTCTTGTCAGGATCCTAGTTCACCCAAAGGGAGAATGTCTGTCTAGTTTTATGGTGAAAATTTGGCACTTCGGGCAAAAGAAGAGGAAGTTTGGCTTCTCAAAAGGTGGCAGACAAGAAGTTATAATGAATGCCATTAATAGTGGGGGAGATTTTATGATGATAATTTCTTCTTTAGATCTTGAATTAAAAGACTTGGGACCAGATCTCCTTACTTGTCCCACCCTCCAACTCTGGGAGACCCCAACATCCCTACTATCCCACACCTTCCCCTGGACCTGCAGATAAATACACCTGGAAGTTATCTCTTTGTTGGTTATTATTTTTATTGAGATAAAAATCTCATATCATAACATTTACCCTTTTAAACTGTATAATTCACAGGCTTTTAGTATATTTACAAAGTTGTACAACCATCATTCCTATAAGTTTCAAAACATTTTTATTATTCCAAAAAGAAATCCTGTACCATTCTCTTCTCCCTCTGGCCCCTGGCAACCACTGATCTTTCTCTATGGGTTTACCTAGTCTAGACATGTCATATCAATGCAATTATACAATATGTGGCCTTTTGTGTCTGGCTTCTTTCACTTGCATAAGTTCTCAAGGTTCATCTGTGCTATAGCATTGTCAGCACTTCATTCCTTTTAATGGCTGAATAATATTCTGTTGTATGGATATGCCACCTTTGGTTTATCCATTTATCAGGTGATGGAAAATTAGATTGTTTCCACTTTTTAGCCATTACGAATAATGCTACTATGAACATACGTGTACAAATTTTCATGAACATATGTTTTCAATTCTTTCGAGTATTTACCTGAGTGGATTTGCTAGATCATATAGTAATTCTATTTAAAAATTTTCAAGAAACTGCCAAACTATTTTCCAAAGTGGCTGCACCATTTTACAGTCTGACCAGCAGTGTACGAGGGTTCTAATTTCTCCACATCCTCACCAACCCTTGTTGTTGTCTTTTTAAAATTTATATCCATCATAATAGGATGAAGTTGTATCTCTTGGTTTTGGCTTGTATCTATCTCCCTAATGAGTAATGACGTTGAGCAGTGCTGCATGTGCTTATTGGCTATTTGTATATCTTCGCTGGAGAAAAGTCTGTTAGAATCCCTTGCCCAGTTTTTAATTGGGTTAATTGTCTTTATTGTGTAGTTGTAAGAACTCTAAATATTCTGGAGAGTAGACTCTTTTCAGAGATATGATTTGCAACTATTTTCTCCCAAACCGTTGGTTGTCTTTTCATTTTCTTGATAAGTGTCCTTTGAAACACGAAAGTTTTTAGTTTTCATGATGTCCAGTTTATCTGTTTGTTCTTTGGTTGCTTGTGCTTTTGGTGTTATATCGAGGAACCATTGCCTAGTCCAAGGTCACAAAGATTTACATCTATGTTCTTTTTAGAGTTTTATGGTTTTAGCTCATAATTTTAGGTCTTTCGTCCCTTTTAAGCTGATTTTATATATGATATGAAGCAGGGATCCAACTACAACCTTTTATGTGTAGATACCCAGGTATCCCAGCATCATTTGTTGAAAAGACTATTCTTTTTTTTGTTGTTGAATTGTCTTGGCATCCTTTTTGAAAATTAAGTGCCCATAAACGTGAGGTTTATTTCTGAACTCTCACACCACTTTGATTACTATGGCTTTATAATAATTGTTGAAATTGAGAACTGTGAGTTCTTCAGTTTTGTTCTTTTTCAAGATTGTTTTGATTATTATGGGCCTTTGCATTTCCATATGAATTTTAGGATCAGTTTTCCAATCTCTACAAAAAGCCATTTGGTATAGTTCGTGTTGGGGATTTTGTTGAATCTGTGGGGAGAGGTATTGCCATCTTAATATTAAGTATTCCGATCTATGAACAGGGAATGTCTTTCCATTCTTTTAGGTCTTTAATTTCTTTCAATTACATTTTGTAGTTTCAGGCTTGCATTTTTTAAATTAAATTTATTCCTAAGTATTTATTCTTTCTGATGTTATTGTGAATGGATTTGTCTTGTTAATTTCATTTTCAGATTGTATATGGAATCCTAGGTATCCACAAGAGAGATGAAAGGTTGCTAGTATATAAAAATACAATTGACTTTCATATGTTGGTATGGCATCCTGCAGCCTTCTTGGACTCATTTATTAATTTTACTTATCCTTTTTACTTTATTACTTAGGATTTTCTACATACAAAATCATGTCATCTGCATATAGAGATAGTTTTACTTCTTCCTTTCTAATCTAGATGATATGTCATTTTCTTACCTAGTTGCCCTGGCTAGAGTATCCAATACAGTGGTGAATAGAAGCAGTGAGAGTAGACATCCTCATCTTATTCCTGATCTTAGGGTATGGGGTCCCAACCCCTGGGCAGTGGACCAGTATGAGTCTGTGGCCTGTCAGGAACCAGGCTGCACAGCAGGAGGTGAGTAGTGGGCAAGTGAGCTAAGCTTAATCTGTATTTGCAGTCGCTCTCCAGTGCTAGCTTCAGCTCTACCTCAGATCATCAGACAATAGATTCTCATAGGAGCACTAGTCCCTGATGCCAAAAAGGTTGGGGACCACTGTCTTACGGGGAAGTTTTCAATGTTTTACCATTAAGTATGATGATAGCTATGGCTTTTACTAGATGTCATTTATCAGGCTGAGAAAGTTCCCTTTTCTTTCTGGTTTTTGAATGTTTTTTATCATGAAAGTATGTTGGATTTTGTGAAATTATTACTCATGTGGATTTGTTATTGTCTAGTGTCCTTTTCTTTTATTCTGAAGGACTCTTTTTAGTATTTTTGCTGCTGTCATCATGAAAGTTAATTCTGGGTTTTAATGAACTTCCAGTTCAGTTGTACACAATCAGGTAGTGAGAGTTGCAACAAGGCATAGTGCTTTGTCCTTAAAGGAGATCATTAACCTCCATCTGTCTTATCATAAAACCTACAACCTTAGCCAGAATCTTACTGGAGAGATCTTTTTGAGTCCCAGGTCTTCCAATATTAAATGGCCTATCATGTTGCTGCATTTCAGTAGCTCATTCTTTGGAGTACGGCTGAGCTGGGTTCATGGCAGTGGGTGGTGATTTGGCCATAACATGCTGTTTTTTGCACTTGTCATCTTTTTGTTGCTATTTTGTGGTATTGGTGGTTCGATACACATGTCTCACTATTTGGAGAGCAGCAGATGGTTACAATTTAGCTCGCTTCATTTCCATTACAGAGTTTTGCTTCTTAGAGGACTTTCCTGTCCTAGGCGCTTATGCAACTTAGTTTTTCTGAGACTTTTACCATTTGGGGGCTCCTAAAAGCAGGAAACATTCAAACTCAAAAAAGATTGTTCTTTCAATCTTCTACATATAAAGATGTAGAAGACATTCAGTTCCCAAGTCAAGTCACAGAACTAGTCCAGCATTTGGCAATCAAATATTCCAATTTTCTCATATCCCAGTGAAATGGAGACTCAACAGCATGAAACAGTTTAATAGATCATTCAAGGAAGATTGCAGCTAGCAAGGGAATACAAATCCAAACTGCATTTTTTCCCCTTCTCATCTGTGCCATCCCCTGAGCATTTTCTCATCAGAATGGAGTTGGTCATTTTGTCAATGTTAATATAAGTAACAAACATTGTACTTATATTTAACAAACATTAAATTAGTATAAACGCCTTATGCCTGTCATTCATTTGAAAAATGAGGTTTATTCTTTATAGCACCTTAACTTTTTGGTGTCTTTAAGGACTCCTTCCCTCCACCTGCCCCCAAAACCCCAAAACTCTCAAGATTTTTTCTTTTACTTGAAGAGGGCCCACTGTTTCGCAAGCGGGTATGTCATTTTTGCACGGAGGCAACTATTAATCCTCTTTCCATCCTTTCAATTTTAATAAATGAATTGTGTGGGCTAGGCTTTTTCTTAACTTCTGACTTCTTTCAAGCTTGAGAGGTTGGACCATCTGTGGGAAGAGTCTGGGCAGCAAGCCCTGCATTTGGGTTCTTACTGTGCCCTCAAATTATTTTTCATTTCTTTGACATCTTTCTCATTCAAGACAGCGAATGAACCTTTGTGCTGTGTAAGTTGTAGTATTCAGTGACAGGGTATTATGAGTTCTTTGTGCACATAATTCCATGTTATGAAAACCTTTCACCAACTTCTTAAATTGGCTGGTTTGAAGCGCACATTGTGTTATGGCATAATCTGTATTATTAAGAATATGAACTTGGGGAATTAGCATTAGATCTTTGAGAAAGAATTGGGAATTCAAAGAGAATGACTTGCCTTCATTCTTCAGTCTTGACTTAGGGTACATTACGTAACATGTCATTTCTTATGAGTGTTTGACTTCAGTTACTTCACGGGACTTGCTGAGATGATTTCAAACTTTTGTTTAACTATATTTGGGGGAAATTTTCCCAAGATAGTCCTTAAAGAAAACAATGCTTTCTTCAATTGCTGCTATTTCTGAGTGATCAATCATTAAATATGGTTTATGATAAACGAAACATATTGTTTATAACAAAGAGTATGCTGGCCAGATACCATACAGAGAAAAATCACAGAAGTTCAGTCACTATCTCCAGGAACTTACATTCAGGACCAAAAATACTCACACATATAAAGAAAGGTATAGAAGAGATGCTGACAACTGGATACTAAAATGTTGTCTAAATATGGTTCTCTCTCTAACAGGACTTTACTCGCATGTAGATTCTGAATTAATTTCATTAACTAAGATACAAGATCACCAAAGGAATGCACAGTCCCTGGAATTCAAGAATTTGAGGTTTACCGTCTTGTCTTTTAAAAGCTCCTAATTCACTCCTTCAAATAGAATAAAGTGTTCATTTCACTTTAACATCATTTAAAGTGTACTTTCTCAAGCCCTATGCTACATCCTCTAGGAGAAGACTCAAGGAGGTGAGCCATGCGTAGCTCCTCTTCCCCAGGAGTGGAGAGGGGCTGAGATTTTAAACCAACTGGTGCACCTCCACAGGAGAAGCTGGGAATAGAGGCTGCCCCCTAAGAGTCATCTTGTAGGCTCTGGCTCTTCTGTTGGGGCTAGGTTTAGAGAAGATGTGAGCAATTGGTAACAGTGGAAGCTCCTTGTTAATACAGAAAAACTCAGTCAATACAAATTGAGATCAGACCAATGAATTTGTCTATCATCAAGAAGGCATTTTTCTTATATTCATTTTAGGAATAACTGACCTGAGTACTGAGGGACCATTTTCAGGGAATGGGGCAGGGTGAGGTGCCCAGATCGAAGGAGGCCCAGTGCTGCCGTTTCCTGGAGAACTGAGGAGGGAGCCCTCCCTGCACTGCTACACTCCGTGGACAGTCCTCAGGTGTAGCCTGGGCAGCCACTGGCTACTGCCTTGAGTGCCTTCCCTCCATCGTCTGTGGGTGACTTAGATCCCAGGGAAGTGTTTCCAGGAGGGAAGTGGTTGTGGAGAGGCTGGTGCTCAGGGATGAGCTAAGCCCCAGAAGGGCGCAGGGACATGGTGGAGGGCTGCAGCCCCGCTCGGGGGCAGGACTGCCTTTTTGTAATGAACTTGCGTCCAAATGACGATAAACAAAAATTGTTTTTCAGCTTATGTGCAGGTGTTTTCTGCCTTGATCGTGATCATCGCCGGGGCCTTTGTTATCACCATTATTTACAGGTCAGCCATTTCGTTCTTTCATACTCACATTCGGAACTTTGAAGGGAGGGGAATGGCTCAGTGCTGTCGGGATGCCTGCCACAGACGTGAGCCGGCTTGCCCTGGAGGATCCAGCTGGTCTCCCAGAGCTTAATAACAACACCAGCCAGCATTTAATGAGCACCTAATATTGTCAGTGTTCTGCTCATCGCATTTCGCTCCACGGCCCTCCCACAGCCAGCAAGCTAGGGCTCCTACCCCAGCTGTGCCTGCAGAGCCCTGGCTGACGTTCCCGGTCCAGGCTGACCATGTCCCTCCATCCTGTGACAGAGTCATGTCGTGGACGTGTTCTCAGACATGAGCCTCCTCTTGTTTTAATGTTGAAGACACGCATACCCAGCGAGGCCCCTGCAGCTGGTTGCTGCTCACGGGCAGGACTGGAATGCAGTATTCTTAACTCAGGGGTCTTCCACCCAAAACCTCTCCCTGTGACATGAATAAAAGCCACTGAGATTAGTTGAATCACTTGGTCTAGCAACGAGAAAAACCATCTTCCTACTCTGAGCAGTGCTAGGTGGCATCTTGAGTGACTGACTGGCTGTAACCTGCACACAGTATACACCTTCCCCACTCCTGTTTTTGTTCTGGGAAGTCTAGATGCCATATATAGATCATCTGTTAGTGGCATGTGTAAGAAATTCAAACAGGAACTATTAAGGCAAAGCATTTACCTTGACCGATTTTATACATCCACGATCATGAACCGTATGTTTTTAGCGGGGACATCCTGGTGGAGGATTTGATGGCCCGCAGTTTCCCATGTTTAATTTCTCTGACTGTGATGAAAACTCTCTTCCCCTCAGAGTTGTTCAAGAGAGTAGGAGAGAAAAGGGAGTTGCTACAGAAACGTCTTTGTCATCCAAGTCCATCGAAAAAGTGGAGGCTTCCTCCTCCCATGAGAAGACAGCGTCGAAGGCAACAACTGCTGGGACATCGCAGAAGAGTGGTGGCATAGAAACGGGAGAGGGTGAGACGGAGGGGTTGGCTCGGCCTTAGCGCACAGGGCACAGCTTCATTCCCTTGGGAGATCTCATCTGTGAAGGACACTCAGTACCTAGCTATACTGGCCCTTCAACAAAGGTTATGCTTGTTTTTGTTTTTGTTTTTGTTTTTGGACAATATTCTAACATATCTTTCCTGACTCGGGGGGTCTGGTTTGTAAGGTGGATTCTGCCCGCAGCATGGGTTTCCTGCAAGGCACATTTCCTTCCACAAATATCATCTCCTACCTTTTCCTCTCCCTCTCTTTGCCTCTTGTCATCCCACCCTCTCTAGCTGGGCCAGCTGCAGGGTGGGCAGTGGGTATAAGTGTAAGGGGCAGTCAGTGGTGGTGCTAGGGCATATCTGTGACCCTTGCTGATTTAATCAAGGTGCTCCCTGTTGTGGCTCCCTGATAGTCTGGTGGTCATGATTAAAGAGACATGAACAACAGCCAAGTCTTCCAATGCCTCTGGTTTTCAGAAAGCAAAGTTTTTTGTATGTTATTAATTCTCTTAGGAAGCCTTAGCAGCTGCTTGCTGCTTTTTAAAGTCAGCAACTTGCCAGGTAGAGAAAGAAACATCCCAAATGATCAGCTAAATCTTAGGTGATGTTTGCATGGGAACACTATCTAGGTCTCTTATTATCCATTAGTCACAAAGACTTGGTTTTCTGGTGCAATTGGGAAAAGAAGGAAGCAGGGGGAAGCAGTATGCCTAAACGTCTCTTAGGATCCGGATGCTCGCCTTTAACCGAGGCTGTGTCTGTGCGACGATCCTTTCTCGCAGGGCGTGACATCTACCTTCTCGGTGCTTTCTGCAGAGTAAGGACATGAGAGGTGGACACCCTTCTCCCCACAGGAAGCTGTTTCTCTCTCAGGAATGAATGCAGAGACAGAGCAGCACAGGCACACCTACTAAACTTGTTTTCGAGTAAATCATGGCCCATCGTATGCCACGTAGATGTGTTCACAGATCTTGATGAAATTTCCTTGGCCTTGCTGAACATTCCATTAAAAAAAAAAACCAAATGTGTATTTTTGTTTTAAATTCAGCGACAGTGACAATAACGGATGATGAAGAAGATGAGGATTAAAATGCATGATGAAGAAAATGTGAAGATTGGCAGAGATATCCAAATGAAATGGTGCAGCTGGTGAACCACTGTTAAAAATGTGTGATGGAATGACCACCCAATGAGAAAAAAAATAAAGGTATTTTAAATGCTTCTTGTTTCATGTTATCTTATTCAATGCTATATTTTTTTTTATCTTAGAAGAGAGAAAGCCTTCGGAGTGAGAACATTAACTAGAAGCTTTGATTTTTCAATGGCATTTTTTGTTATTGATAACTGAAATCAAGGCAGATTACAGCATTGAGATAGGTGGTGTCACCTAGGCCCCCCATCTAGGCTGCACTTTCACAGGGTGGGACTGTCTTTCAGGTTCACAGGAAATTCAGGAATTGCCCACCAGTAAGCTGTGGTAATGAGAGGAACAGCCCCTTGGTCTGGGAGAATCATTTTTTGTTTTTTAACTTTTCGAATATTTTCATTAGAACCTTCATGAGATTTTGCTTTGAATGAGATGACTACAGGAAACCTTTCTAGAGAGGCCTTATTTTGGGGGTTCAGTCAGCTCTGTAGTCAGAGGTATATAGGCTTTGCCTCAAGCTGATGGACGAAAATAAGATTCATGTTTCTAGACAACTTCCTTTGTTATAATTTTTCTTACGAGCATTTCCATAGGTATAGATTGAAGTATTCTCTATAAGGACAGAGATGGCCAAGGCTAGTTGTAAAATCCCTGGAGAATTCAGTAGGAGCAAAGGAAGTTTCAGTCTTTAAACTTTTTCTTCAATGTAATAATTCTGGTTTATAAAAATACCATTTTAGATAATAATGACCATTGTAGTTTTAATAAATTTGTGCAACTTTTGATATGGCTACTTGGTGAGTACCCATTCTCAATTTTCAGATGAAAAATTATGGTTTGGATGATGACACCTAATCAAAGATCTTCCTGATTACGAGTCTGATATTTGGAATTATACATTGGCTTCTCTAGGCTAGAAGTTTAGTATGCTGTTCATTTTGTCTTTTATTTTTTTCAATTACAGTTGACCTTTGATATTATATTAGTTTCAGGTGGATAGCATAGTGGTTAGACATTTATATAACTCATGAAGTGATCCTCTGATAAGTCTAGTACCCACCTGGCACTATACATAGTTATTACAATGTTACTGACTATATTCTTTAATCTGTACTTCGCATCCCTGTGATTATTTTGTAACTGCAAATTTGTACCTTAATCTCTTCACCTTCTCAACCTCAACCCCACTTCTATCTGGCAACCATCAGTCTATTCTCTGTATCTGTGAGTCTGTTTCTGTTTTGTTTGTTCATTTATTTTGTTTAGATTCTACATATAAGTGAAATCATATGGTATTTGTTTTTCTCTGTCTGACTTATGAGAATCTCTGTTTTTTGTTTTTTGTTTTTTTACCTTGGAAACTTGCATTTTCCAGAGCAGCTGTGTGACTCATATCCACACATTGCAGGTATTTAAATATATATCCAAATGAAATGGTACAGCTGGTGAAACACTGTTAAAAATGTGTGATGGAATGACCACCCAATGAGAAAAAAAATAAAGATATTTTATATATATATACCCCTAGAAGCTCTCATTTATTTTATAGCTGGTAAATTCTATGCATGTGTCCACATGAAAGTTTGGTCAAGGTCTTACTTGCCCAGGCTTCCTGGAGGAGGGAGGACGAGGGAAGATGAGGGATAGAGGTCAGCCATTTCCTTCTCACAAGCTGACCTTAGTCATCAGCCCTTATGTTGGTCTAGGTTAGACGTCAATACATTTTTTGTAAAGGACCAGACAGCAATATTTTAGGCTTCGTGGGTCTTAAGTTTTGACATCTCTTCAAGTCTGCTAGTGTAGCACCAAGGCAGCCACAGAAAATGGCGATGCATGGATGTGGCCAGGTTCCAATAAAACTTTATATGAAAACAGGTGATGGGCTGGATTTGGCCCTCAAGCTGTGGTTTGTCAGCCCCTAATTTTTTTGCACATCTTTTCCTAGGGATTTCACAATTAACCATTTCTATGATCCTTAGTTGAAAACCCCCTGATCGCCAGTTTATCTCTATAGCTTATTATAACTGAGCCCACCTTGTCTCTGTTAATAACTGATGTGGCTTTCCCATGCTAGGATCCCATATGCCCCTGAGATCAGGAATTACATTATTATTCATCTACATTCTGCACAGTCAGCCCTCAAAGAGCTTTTCTAGGATTCGTTTTTAATGCTGCTGTGGATGGAGTACACCCTTGGCTCTCCTCCAGGGGTGCAGTCGAGCAGGTGGTTACAGAAGATCCATTGCAGCATCCCCATCTTTGTTCACCTTGTGGTCCTCAACCCCACTGATTCTCAGCCCCAAGCAATTTTGCCCCCTAATGGGCATTTTGCAATGTCTGGAGTAATATTTGGTTGTCAAAACTGGGGAAAAGTGGTACTGGCATCTCGTATGTGCTAAACTTCCTGCAGTGCACAGGACAGCCCCATGACAGAGAATTATCTGGCTGTCTTAGTGTTGTATTACTGCTCTGACAGGTGTTCAGTTAACAAAACCAGTATTTTTATAAAGAATAGTAACACTTTCGATAAGTCAAAATATGTAAACATACATTTTTAATAGTTAAAATCAGTCACAATTTCTTGAGTCAGGCACTGACCTAGGGTACATGAGAAGAATGGAAAGGAAAAAAAAAAAATCCTGGACTGCCCGTATCTGAGAAGGAATTAGGGGTAGGATTTACAGTTGCATATCCATCAGGTGACTGATAACCTCGAGCATTTCTAGCACCCTTTCTGGTCAGGCCTATGGTCTCAGCTCTCCTTGACAGTGCAGGAATTATAACCAAAATGCCTGAAGTGAGTTTCACTTTTCATTGGAGCAAAGTGGAGCTGATTCTGGGATAAGTCTCGTCTCAGAGGATGGTTAGTTGTGGGTCTGGTGGTGGTTTGGACCAATAGGGGAAAAGAAAATAATGACTGCTCCCAGTCACCAGACACTGAGTCCTGTGGCTCGCTCAGTGCAACTCACTGAGAAAGTCTTTTACTTTCTTCACTTCCGTTTCCTATTTTCAAATAAATTCTTTGATCCTTACATCATGTTTCATGTTATGAGCCAAGAATCAGTGATAATGCTTAACAAAGGGTTTAAGACTCTTGAGCGAAAACTATCAGAATCCAGAAGTAGTATTTTAAATTTACTAATTTTTATTGTCAGTGAAGGTCACATGAGAAGCAATGACAAGGCACCTCTGCTCCTCCCAGCCAAGGTGGTGTTGACAGAGGTTGAGAGAGGAAGCTGGACTCCCACCCTAGGCCAGTAGCCCCCAAGATCTCCCAATCCATGGTGTCATGGAGTTTGAGAGGGGAAGCTAGATTTCTACCCCTATCTTGCAATGATAAAGTGATGCTCCCAACTTCTGCCAGCAGTGTCAGAAGAAGCTGCTAAAACACATGCTTTAAATAAGATCTAGAGCCTCATAACATGATAGCCACACATTCCAGATTCAATCAAAAATCACTCATCGTACCAAGAACCAGGAAAATCTCCCCCTGAATAAGAAAAGGCAATTAACAGACACTAACATGGACATGATACAGATGTTGGGACTATCTAAGATGTTAAGTCTTTCTGACGGAAGAAAGGATTTTAAAGCAGCTATCATACAAAATGAGGAATTATAAGCATGCTCAAAACATATGAAAAATAGAAAGTCTCAACAAATAAATGGAAGATATAAAGGAGAACCTAGTGGATAGTTTAGAACCGAAAAATATAATAACCAAAATAAAAAACTCAATGGATGGGCTCAACATCTGAATGGAAAGAACAGAGAAAAGAATCAATGAACTTAAAGATAGAAATGATCCAATATGAATAAGAGTAAGGAAATAAAATGAAAAAAGAATCTGTAAGATGTAACAAAAGTTCTAACGTCTGTGTCATTGATGTCCCAGAAGGAGAAGAAAAAGCATGAGACTGAAAAAGCATTTAAAAAAAACATGGTTGAAAATTTTCTAAATTTGGCACAAGATATAAACCTAGAGATTTAAGAAGCCGAGTGAACCCCAAATTTCTGAAAACTAAAGTTAAAAACATCTTGAAAGCAGTGAGAAATGTCATCTTATCTACAGAGGAAAGATCATTCTAATTACAGTAGACGCTCATCAGAAACCGTGGAGCCCATACGGAAGGGACACAGCATTCTCCAAATACTGACCATGTGGAGAGCCTGATTTTTATATCCAGAGTTTTATACCCCATGAGAATATTCTTCAGGATAGAAAGGACAATCAAGACCTTCTCAGAGGAAAGAAAACAAAGAGACTTTGTCTCTAGCTTACCTATCCTAAAAGGATGGATAAAGGAAGTTCTAAAAAAGAAAGGAAGTGATAAAAGAAGGAATCTTGGGACATCAGGGAGAAAGAACATTGTAAAAATAAAAACGGAAAAATGCGATGAATTTTTCTTTTCCTCTTGAGTTTTCTAAATTATGTTCGACAGTTGAAGTGAAAATTATTACACTGTTATAATGTATGTAGAGGAACTATCTAAAACCAGTATATTATAAATGGGTGAGGACAAAGTGACAAAAAGGGAAGTACAGCTTCTATTCTTCACTCAAATTGATACAGCCGCTCTGGAAAATAGTCTGACAGTTTCTTGAAAATTGAAACACACATTTACCATACAATTAGCAATTGTGCTCCTGGGCATTTATTGCAGAGACATGAAAACTTAATGTTTATACAAAAAAATGTACATGAATGTTCATGGCAACTTTATTTGTAATAGCCCCAAATTAGGAACGCAGTCCCATAAGTGAATGGTTAAACTGTGATATATACACCAGAGAATACTACTCAGCAATAAAAAGAAGAAATGAATGATACACACAATAATTTGGATGGATCTCAAAGGCATTATACTGAATGAGGAATCAGTCTCAAAAAACTGCATATGATATGATTCCATTCAGTTGATAAAATTCTTGAAATGACAAA